GTATAATTTCCATAACATTGTGCAATATTCGTGTGATTTATGGCAAAGTACAATTGTACATATTAGAATAGTTTACAAAACGTAACAAGCATTGGTAACCGAAATTTAAAAAATTATAATAAGATCAGCGAGCGTTCATAAACTGAAATTCACAGTAAATTTTGATACCGATCCAAGACATCAATATTATATATTATATAAATTACGTATAAATGATTTTAAAAAATGTATCTCATATTTCATTATTTTATATTCTACTTTGATATTTTATTATTTTATATATATAAATATTTACTTAATTAAATATTTATTTAATACAACACACAATATATTGTATTTAAAAACGCATAAAAAGTGATTTGAATCATTGCAAGCTTTAACTAGACTCATCGAGTATGTATAGTTTTGCTCTGCTATATAATATCTCTGAACTCCTGAGACTATTGACTATAGACGGATATCGATCGCTGGCGTGACGCAATTAATCTATTCTCCTGAACAATATAACAGTACCGCTTCACGCGCAGAATTCGTCAGTAATCGCTTCCCTGTCTGTGTTTCCTCAAAACGTAATTAATGTTAGAAAACGGTAATCAATGGTGCAACTGTTTCCTTCTTCGAATTGAAAGAAGATTGCATGAACGTGGATCGTGTGATAAAAAAAAATATTGCGCTCGAAATTCGATTCTAACTTGATAGAATGAAACAAAAAACCCATATATTTCTATATTTATACGAATATTTAAAATATGTTTACTGTACGAATAGAAATTCAAAGCATAACCAAATATTATCAGCTTATCTATTATAGCAATATAAAATCTTAAATATGATTTAACCCAAGTGAGAAAAGAACTGCATCTTTATTGTATCTAAATTCAAAAGGAAAAAATAATTATTCTAAAGCTTTTAAGTTTTTTATATATATTTGAATGATACTTCCGTTTCTATAGCTGTGATGGAAAATCGCAAAAGTTTCCTGTTAAATATACTCCAATACTCCAATCTATAACCATGTGAGTGACAGCGTTACATTACTATCCACTCTGTACCGTAATTTAGCAGTTGTATCACTAGGATCGATATTTCGGTATACGGCTAATTTTGAAGGGACTCGATATCAAACCAAGGATATTAATCGGCGATCGTATATCAGTTCTAAAAATATCCATTCTTAAACGATGTCGTAAAATAATCCGCGATAAATACCGAGGTAGGATTTATAATCTAATGGTGGTGGCTTATTGTACACGATCCGAGGTTTATCGTGATCGCTCAAAAGATACTACGATAAATCACAGCCGGAATTAACCATAGAAATCGCGACGGCTCTCCCGACCCAATGTTCGGACTTTATTTTGATTTATATGCGGATAAATTAGCGTCGCCATGTAAACATAATCGTTACATTTTCTGCCCTCGAAAAGATTGTCATCAGATTGATAGACGAGAAAAAAGAGAGCCGAGGGAAGAGAAAGTTATATTTATTATTCCGGGCCAAATCCCGTCAAAATAAGTAATAAGCGAATGTGTTAGTTCAGAGAGGAATCTCCGATTTTATCAGTTTAAATGATGGGCATGAGCGAATATAAGTGTAAACCTACTATAAAAAGAATTTTAGTAAACTCGAAAATAAATTATATTTAAAGCAATTTTAATACAAAAAGATACTTTTAACCCAAGTAAAAATAAAACAATAATGAAAAAATTAATATATATATTTGCGCGATTTATTATTTATGTAAATATTATTTATTTTAAATAAAAAATAAATTCGGGGCTAAATAAGCTAAGGAAAGTAAAGATTACTTATGCAAGAAGATAAGTTCAAAGATAAAGAAGAGATAGATAGAGGTGAGAGAAAGAACATAATAATAATTATATATATAAGAGAATAAGCTATATATAGATTTACATATATATAGTATAGAGGCTCACTTTTGATAATGTGCCTCATGTGATATATAAATAAGGCACGGAGGAGAAAATAAAAAAAAACAATAAAATATTTGGGCCATTCGCAGAAAAGGACATTCTGAAATAGGACGATATTTTAGAATTAATAATGGGTATCATAAAGTCCCATAAGCAGAAACACGTGTAAACAAAAATATGGCATACTGTCGAAAACAAAATCTTGGAGTAAAAATATGAACATGACATCAAAAAAAGAAATATATGTGCGAACAAAAATTCAGCAGCTAGTATCGTTTTTAGTACCAAGGATATGAATTGAAACAAATAATAAAAAATCTTACAATATCTGTTATAACATTATTTTAAATAAAACAATATATTTTTAAAATATTTTCATTATTTTCTTCATATTTTATATATGCTTTATTTCCTTATTTAATATTCCTTGTAAGTCTATAATCTTTCTTCTATAGTCTCTCTCTTGCAAGTTTTTTTAAAATCATAAGAATAATATAAAAATATCGCAGGCATTTTTCACTACAAATATACGAATATATACAAATTTAACAAAATATCACTAATAACTCTTTATTAGTTTAATTTAACAACTAAATTATTATCAGACTATTGCACACATACGTTTCGATAATATCGATTATAATTGATATTCGATTAACCTTAACGACTTATTAAATAAATTATAAAATATAGGTCACGCGCAATCGTTTACGCCATGAAAAATTGTGCTATCAAATTTCCGAGTTAAATATTTATTTTCAGAAGGTCATAAAAAATAAGGCTTACTTTACGACTGATTTGACTTTAAGATAAATAGCTTTCGATATAGAATATACCGAAAAAAGTAATAGGGTTGAACATCCACGCAAATGGCAAAGGTCAGATTCATGGGTTTTTCATATTCAAGTCAGATTCAAGAAAATGTACGCATCTAACTAAACCAGAAAAAGAAGTGAAACACGATGGCTATTATTCATAAAAGGAAAATACTTAATTATTAACGGATATAATAAGCGCAAATATAAAGCAAGATTTAAAAGATCTAAGAGAGATTACAAATCAATAGAATGTTAAATACCAGAACAGACTGAATAGATTGAGCGTAATAAAACTAAATGCAAAACAGAGTAAGAATATAAAGAACCTGGGAATCTGATACAGTGGTCGTAGTAGAATTCTCAAGGGTGACAAAAACCCCTCTGCAAATCCAATCTGATAATCCGATAATCTCAAATTCTAATCTCGTTTCTCAATCAAAATCTCATCTCTGATTCGTACTTCTTCTAACTTATTATTATTTAATATTTTTCCCTACAAAGGATCCAAATAACGCATATCTTAGAATTCAAACACGAGGAGCAGAGAATATAGCTCCTGTTTACGTGTTCTTCAAGTTCAGACTGTATCATACATACAATATCCAGTTTGGGGACTTTCGATATCGCATATGAATGGCGCAGGCAATGAACGGGCCAGCAGACTTAAGCCAAGTGTGCGTGAACGTGATGGAGAACGGGAATTGCAGATAAATTTTACTCGAAGTCGCGGCCTCGGTGAAGGGGAGGAAGGAAACGCGAAGATGCCGAAGATCGAGAAGAGAGTAAGAATGAGAGGAGAGAGCAAGAGTGGCAGGGGCCACAATGAGGAGTGCGCAGGCGGCACTCACTGCCAGGGTCACTCTCGTCGCACTCGCGCGACTACTCCGCAGCGGCGCGACGCGACGTGACGTGCCCGCGACGCTACGAACCTCTTCTACTAGCCAGACGCACTCAGTGCGCCGCGAGAGCGCTCCGAAATCGCGTGTCGATCTTACGCCTCCCGCTAAAGCGAGGGAAGGGAAACATCGTGAGAAAAAAAGTGACAGGAATTTTGAACACACGAGTTCCATAAAATTCAAGAACTTACAGTCGGCAAGAGATATAGTGCTACTAGAAATTCTTGATCTTTGAGAAAATCATCAAAATAATGGTATTAATAAGAGAGTGGTTAACAATCAAATAATTCATAAAAAGATAATAAATAATACAAATTAATTATTTAAATAAGGAAACTATTAATGCCTCCTACTAAAGCAAGGGAAGGGAAATGTCGCACCCCGATCGCTAATCGTGGTGAAAGATTTCGGAAAAAAAGTGAGAAAGCAGTGACAGTCGGCAAGAGATAGTGCTATTGAAATTCTTGATCTTTGAGAAAATCATCAGTCATTAAAATAATGATATTAATAAGAGAGTAGTTAACGATAAAATAAGGAATAAAAAGATAATAAGTAATTATTAAAATAAGGAAACTATTAATGCTCAGAAAGAAGATTATTCAAAAATGAATTAACAATAAAGTTATTAACGTAATCAATAAAAAAATGTTAATTGATAATTATACTCAAGTTTGTGTTAATAGATCTAATTCACAACTATAGTGATCAGCAGTTTCAAGATAGTTTACTATCGGTGGTCTTGGGCAAAATCAATACTAGCGAGATTAATAGTGTTATCAATCAAGACTGTTAATGAAATTGCTAACCATACTTAGCAGCTTACATAGGTTATCAAATTAAAAGAATAACTAAGAATCAAGCTTATTAATATATAATTATTAGCTAAGTTATTAATCAAATAAGTCAAATCTAATTCGATCAATATGAGATGTGATTAATAAAAAAAATCTTTCTAGCAATCGTGATTAATAATAAAGTATCATAATCGTCAACGTGTAAAGATACGAATTAGTGATATCAAATGACGTGAATCGACACTTGACGTTTATTTGATTTCGAGTAAAGTTTTATCTCTCTCTTTCGTTTTTTTTTCTTGCGAAGACGGCATGATTTATCGACGAAGAAGCGAGAAATTTACAATCATTACAGAGATAGATCAGAAATTAAAAGAATAATCAATTCAGAATTTTTTAAAGAAGACCTGATCTTATCTGAGACGATCAAAGAAATGGACATAATCGTTCGAGTATAACAGAGATTTCTACCTTTTTTCAATTTGCAAAAGATAAAGACTTATGAACGGAGAAATAAACGTATTAATAAAATGATTATTGCAGAGACAGAATCGAATCACGATTAAGAAAGTCACTTTCGTACTTTATTATTAAAACTTCCATTCTCATTAAGGAAGATTATAAGACATCAACAATGAAAAAACAAGTTTACGGATGATTTCCTTCGGAAATTATTAATTTGTATAAGTGCACTCTGAAACTTTCTTGTGGATTAAAAAAAACTGATAACTGATACTAATAGAATTAATCGACCCACGCGTTAACTGAATCAAAATATAAAATTAAAAATTTGCAAACCACAATTTAACGTGGATTTTAGAAATATTGGCTGATTAAGGTGCAAGAGATGTCTGCCGAATTGAATTAAGTGATACGACTCAACGATTGCTACGTGCATTTCGTGAAGCGCTACGAAATCCTGTTTGAGAAAAACAAAGTGATTCATCGGTGAACGAGATAATATCTGCAAATGTGGAATTATCGAGACATTCCTCGAATTTTCGCGAAAAGTGCATCGAAGCGAATTCTTCGACAAGTCTCTCTTGCCGTCGATGCACAAAATTCTATGATTTATCCCGACAATGTGGAAGTGACACGCTTATAATTGGTCTCGCGTGCTTATGCGAACAACTATGCAACTCGTGGTGGTGAGAGGGACGCGATGACAAAATTCAGATGCAGCGAGACCGACGAGAAGACTAACGACAGGTGATTAAACAGGTGAATCCCGGGCCGAGATTTCGCGAGATCGCGGTCCGCGCGTCGCGTCGCGTTCACTGCGGATGACACACACTCGTTTATTAATAGTTCTGCAAACAATATTTCGCGACACTCCACGCAAATAGCACAGTTATCTTGCAAACAAATAGTATATGGCTATTAAATAATATTACGAGCAACATTTCAGACAATTGAATGCTAAATGTGCAACATTTAAGGGATTTTACTTTGTTTTCTATACATTGTTTCCGTGTACAAATCGTACATCCAGATTGTTATTTTTCGACGATGAAATATATGTTCTAGTATATTAAAAAAATAAAATAATAAAAATACATGAAAATTTACAAAAAAGCTTTGTAATTATAATTCTAGAAAAAAGCTTCTTTTCCTAAATAAAATTGTCAATTTTTATAAAGTAATGATTTCGTTTTAAATAATATTGTATCAAATCGCGAAAAAGTATGTTTCTCTTGATATGTTAAGCAGTTATTACGTAAGAAGGAAATAATATTTTTTTGATTGACAGTTTGTGGCTATAAGATTCTAAGGATTAATTCAAAGTTTTTAAAGCGATGATTGAACCGTTATTTAAATACACGTGAAAAGATGACGTGAAAGGAACGGATATACGAGACAAGCTATCTCTAATATAAATTTATATATGCAGATATTTATATTATAGATAATTTATATTAGATACTATACGTATGCTATAGAAACTCCCATACTATATATTAGTTAATATTACATGCCCATACATATATGCATATAATATTTTGTGATTACAGTTTAGATGATATTATCTAATTTCCTATAAAATCCATTACTTTTTTTCATAAAATATACATTTTCGTAAAATTATAATAACATATTATAAAATATATGATACAATATGTGATATTAATATATGATAAGATATATCTTGTAATGCCAAAAATAACTGACACAGAATATATAAAAGATAGAATGCATTATCATAAAGCTCACAGATAAGAAGAAGCCATTTTCCATCTCGACGGGTTAATGTACTGTGCAATTAAGGGTATACACAAGGTTTATGGGCGATAATGCATAATATGATCTAACGCTTCTATCCAAAGTAAAATTTCTGTCTAAAGGAAGAGAAACGTTTTTCAAAACTCTGACACCATAATATGGCATTGACGCTTTATTTTGAGGAATTCATTTTTAATAAAAAATAAACGTATTACTATTAAATTGAATTATCTGAAAATAATGGAATTAGAATATGTCATAAGTTTTTATTTTGTAAATTATTTCCAAAATTAATATTTTTAATAATTATATTGTTTTTCTTCTTGCTTTCCGCAAAAATTGATTTAAATATTTTTATGTTAAAAAATGAACTTCTCAATTATTATATCATTGCAATATATACATTATTGCTATTGTAATGGTGCGTTTGCACTGATATTTTCAATTTTAAAACAGTCATCATTGTACAATTAAAATTTGAGAGTTTTAAACTGTCTTGCATAAAATTTTTGTTAAATAATCTGTCAGTAATATCTCCAATTTAAATTGCGATGATCGAAAGTGGAAAACCCAGGTAATAAATGTACGTCATTTTGATGTCGAATGATGTCATTAGACGTCAAAATGATATTGTTTTAACGTTTAATGATGCCAGTTTGCTACTTGGTTTGCTAATTCAATTTAAGATAATTTAAATTGATAAAATGAAATAGTACAAATATATTCAAATTTTTATTTTATGCCACATTTAATAATATTTTTATATAAAATTTGATTTATATTTTCTTAATATACAAATTTATACAAATACACAAAAGCAAAGTTAATGATTAAATTAACTGATAACAAAGGAAATTTATTAGCTACAAAGAAATGACAAAAATAATATAATAAATTATAATTTTTTTTAAATTTTATATAAGAGTGTCTTTTATGCAATAATTGAACTTTTACGACCTCATGTCTTTCATTTATTCGATATAATAAACTGAGATATAGAAATTAAATATAAATAACTACTAAATCATGAAAAATTGTCTGGCTTCTATATCTCACTTTATTGTGTCGCACGAATGCAAAATATGAAATTGCAATAAAAAGTCCAAAGTTACTGTATCAAAGATAACTTATATAAAATTTCTTTTAAATAAAATTATAATTCTTTTGTGAAAGATTCTTTATTTTGCTTTTGTATATCACTGTATATTAATCTATTTAAAAAATATAAAAATTTTATATATTATACAATAAATTATAAAACAAATAAAACGGAATGGAGAAAATGCAATTTTTTATATTAAAAATTTTTTCTCTGTAAAAATATACGATTGCAAACCCCCTGACCTTTGACAAGATTTATCGTAATCTCAAATTGCGCGACGTAATGAGACATTCGGGAAATAAACGTCGTAAGCGAGATTAAATTATGAAGCAACGGAAAAAGTAGTAAGATGCAGTTGCACAGTGGGGGAATTGCGAGTTTATTAAGAAAACTACAGTTTTTTACTTCAGTTTTTCAAATTCCGATCGCTCCGCATAATGAAGCAACATAAAACGATGTAATCAAAGAAAGAAAAAAGAAACATACAACGTATTATTTACATAAATAACGAAGCTTTAAAGCAGACATGACGAATGGCAGATATCGAATTTACAATTAAAAAGACGAAAACGATCGCTAAAAAGAAGCTACACATTTTATTGCAAATATAAAGTTGTTCAATTACATGCTATTTGAGTTAAACGTGATTAATTAAACTTTCTTTTTTTATTTACAACGCATTTCAGAATATTTGAATTGCAATTTTAACAAAAATGTTGCAAAATGTTAGATTTTTATTATTTATAAAGAAATATACACTCTAAAGTGATTAAAGATAAAAAAATAAAAAATAAAAACTGAGCCCTCGTATTAAAATATTAATCACTAAGTGATTAAAGATAAAAAATTGATTAATCTATAATCAATATTTATGACTTAATTACTGGCTGGTAAAACTATTAATAAGCAATTATGATCATTGTGATTATTGTACATAATTGTGCTTATAATTGTTATATGTGCAAATTTTTCAAATACGCATTACCTTCTTTCTATAATTGTAAATTAATTTTTAAATTGGAGATTATTGCATATTTAGTCTCCATTAAAGTAAAACTAATGAATGTATTCAGTAAGAAAATTTTATTACCTATTTGTGCGTTTCTTAGTTCTTCTCCTGTTCCTTTAAAATAATATACTAATTTCTAATTCATTGATATTATTTATTCTTGCATAACAGTTTGTCACGGCAATTATTTTTTTTCTTTCACGTTTCATATAATGTCTGTGATTAAACTACCATTCATTCGAGATTGCAGACGAAAAACGCTTAATACACCGTAATTAAGAATAATCAATGACGGTGCACCTGACCTTTAGAGACCGTAATAAAGTAGATTCTCTAAGGACTCATAGTTCATAAAGACTATTCATTCGCCCTTTTAGATTATTCCTTTTGAGAGACTGGTTACCATATATATGGTAAATAGCCAACTGTAAGGAGTCGGGCCATTTATGCGACAGCAAATCAATATTTCCGATCGGATCAATATAGTCGCACAAAGCAGCGACAGTTTTTTAATCATCTATAATTCGTAATTTAATTCTTATCAGATCAGAGCTATGGCTGTGAGAATATTCTATGTGATGCTTCTTTTATCAAATTTTTGCAAATTTGAATATCTTGATAACGAAATTTTAAATAAAAATTTTTAAATAGACTTTATTTTCAAAATACTAGCGTAAAATTTGCATCGCAGTTTTTTAATTTTTTTCTAATTATAAAATCTTTAATGTTAAGTAACTTCATAATATAATGCAATCCTTAAAATTTTTGCAATGAAAATTGTACTCAGTATTGCGTATATGTGTCTAAAAAATTATGTGTCTAAAAAATTGAAAAAAAAACATTTGCACAGAGTCATGTTTTGTGTGGTATACATATTAATTCACGAAATTTAGAACCATGTAATTATTAATTTCTTTTTCTATGGTGAAAAAATGTATATTCTTTGTATCATTTTTTTATTATATGTGAATTCTCTCATTAAACATTGGCTTTCATTCTTCTCATAAAAAATTGACTTTATCAAGAAATTCTTAAAGTCGCGTTAAAAAATGTAACGCAACAAAGATGGATCATATACCCAGTTTTTCATGTAATTAACTTATTTACTTACCTTTTGTGTGCTTGATAATAAAAGAACATTTCACAAAAAATTAGGAAAGAAAACTTATCTCATCACGCTAATCTGTATTGTTGCTACTATGATCGTTCGGTGCGTCGTTTCTCTTCAGAATTTCATTAGTAAATTGAACGCGATCTAGCCATTTTAAACTTTTGTAATGATTACTTAAAGAAAACTTGATTATTGTGCTTTTGTTAAACTGTAATTAAATATTGATAATGACAAAATAACCGTGAACTATGGAGCAAATAAATTATAATAAATGATCAAATGATATTTAATTTGCAACTTTTGTTTTGCATTACAATTAAAATAATATCGTTCCGAACAATAAATGTGAAATAGTGAAAATATTGTAGCTATTTTTGATTGTTTGCATTTATTTCACATTTCAATTCACGCAATAAGGTATAAATTATACTAATTTATTGTCAGGTTTCTAGAATTTAATTTTATAAAATTTTCTCTGAGAAAAATTTGTTAAAAAGAAATCGCTTTTAATATATATATAGTTCTTCAATAAAAATTTCTAGGAATTGTTTTGTTAATCTTTAATATAAAATTATTTTATATTTAAAAATTAAATCAAATTTATGAAAATTTTGATAAAACAACATTTAGTTAAATATAAACAAATATTTGTGTAAAGATTTTTACTACATACAAAATTTTTTTACATGTAAATTCTTTTATCCAGTTTTTGTTAAAAACATTTCTTTACTTATAATTTCTTTTTAAAATAAAATTAATTTCCAAGTTAGTAAATATCA